ATGCCTGCTTTTACCCACCCCAGTAAGACTTTATCACTCTTACCTTCCAAGTGAGAATTGGCAGTTCCTAAAATTCAGTGATGAGTTTGGCTTGTGGATATGCAAGTGCAGAGAAATAAAGGAATTCTGAAAATCTCTGTAGATTGATAGCTTGGCTCATATTCTAATTCAGAATGTGAGAAATGAATTTCTGCTTGCTATTCTTCAGCAACATCACAACTTCTTCCAACGCAAACAAATACCCTCCTGGAATACCTACAATTAAAAAAAAAAAAAACTTGGGTAGTGAAAGACAAGAAACATAAGCACATAAATAATTCGCAGAAAACATTGTTCCTATTGCACACCTTTTTCTTTCTTTTTTCTTTTCTTTCTCTTCTTCCTTCCTCCCTCCCTCCCCCTCTCCCTCCCTCCCTTCCTCTCTCTCTTTCCTTTCTTTCTCTCTCTCTTTCTTTCTTCCTTCCTTTCTCTCTCTCTTTCTCTCTTTCTCTTTGTCTCTCTATTTCTTTCTTTCTTTGATGGACTCTTGTTCTTGTGGCCCAGGCTGGAGTGCAACGGCACAATCTCAGCTCACTGCAACCTCCCCATCCCGGGTTCAAGTGATTCTCCTGCCTCAGCCTCCTGAATAGCTGAGATTAAAGGCATGCACCACCACTAATTTTGTATTTTTAGTAGAGACAGGGTTTCACCATGTTGTTCAAGCTGGTCTCGAACTCCTAACCTCGGGTGATCTGACTGCCTCGGACTCCCAAAGTGTTGGGATTACAAACGTGAACCACCATGCCCAACCTGCCCTCCTTTTTCTACTCAGCTACTTTCATCAGTATATTGCATATTCTTACTAAATCAAGACATGCAGTGGTCTGGCTAAGCTTGTTTCTAAAGTAGTCTTTAGAGTGTTCAGAGAGTAGCATGTGGTGATGAGGGGCTTCTTCAATTGTAATTAGAATTCCATGTTACTTCACTTGACACAGTCAGTTTGGAACACTCTTCTATGTAAAAAGTGTCCATATCCAGCTGTTTGCCCACATCCAATAAAAGGCTTTTGGTACACTGTACTCTATTTTGGAAAATCAAGGAGCATTGATAATGAAAATTGTCCAAAATCAAGTGTAGAGCCATCTTTGTCCTTGCTCATGAACTCTATTGCTAGGCTTCTCCTCAATTCTGATAAATAACAATTGTGGGTTCAGTGTGTATTCTTCATGTTTAGAGTGAGATTTCTACACAACCAAGATAATATGTCAGGTTTATCATTTAACAAATATATATTGGTAAATATATCAATTTATTATCTTCCCCTTGACACCTGTTTAAAAACTCAATATTGGTTGGGTGTGGTGGCTCATGCCTGTAATCCTAGCACTTTGGGAGGCCAAGGCAGTTAGACCACCTAAGACCAGGATTTCAATACCAGCCTGGCCAACATGGTGAACCTTCAGTCTCTACTAAAAATATAAAAATTAGGGCTTGGGCGGGGTGGCTCAGACCTGTAATCCCAGCACTTTGGGAGGCCAAGGCAGGTAGATCATGAGGTCAAGAGATCAAGACCATCTTGGCCAACATGGTGAAACCACATCTTCACTAAAAATACAAAAATTAGCTGGGCATAGTAGTGCATGCCTGTAGTCCCAGCTACTCAGGAGGGTGAGGCAGAAGAATCTCTTGAACCCAGGAGGCAGAGGTTGCACTGAATTGAGATCATGCCACTGCATTCCAGCCTGGTGGCAGAGCTAGACTTTGTCTCAAAAAAAATTTAAAACATTAGCTGAGTGTGGCTAATTTCACTTTGGTGAATGCCTGTAATCCCAGTTATTCGGGAGGCTGAAGCAGGTGAATCACTTGAACCCCAAAAGTGGAAGTTGCAGTGAGCCAAAATGGTGCCACTGCACTTCAGCCTGGATGACAGAGACTCTGTCTCAAAAAAAATAAAATAAAATAAAAATAAAAACTCAATGTTACAAGATCTAAACACATTGCTATGTATACAGATTCTAGTGGCTTCAACAGAGTCAATAGATCTGTAAATTTTTCATTTCATTCATTCCCCTGCTAATGGACAAGTAGATTATTTCCACATCTTTGTTATCTCAAACAACACTTTATTGAACAGCTGTGCAGATAGCACTGGAGTTCCTTGGTTATATCTACATTCATTTTCATTTTTTCTAGGAACAACTAGATTGCTCTACAATTTCTGTCTTCATTAGCCATATGACAATTCCGATTTCCCCATATTTGGCCCATGTTTATACTGAGACATTTTCACTTTGTCTAAATTAATAAAAAATGTCTTGTGGTACTTTCTCTGTTACTATTGATCTTGCATCTCCTCATATTTATTAGCCATTTGAATATCCTTTTTTTGAGTTGCCCGTTCTAAGGTTTGGCCCACTTCTTTTGGGTTGACTCATTTTTTAATTGATCTGTCAAGTTTCCAGGACACTTATTCTTTGTCTTTTTAGGTGTGATTAAACTATTCTATGCTGTATTGTGTCTCTTAATTGTTTATGTCATTATTACATGGAAATTAGTTAAACATATCAGACATTTCCATTGTTTGTGCTTTTGGTTCCTTTAAGACATTTTTTTCCTACCTTAAATTCATAAAGACATTTTAAAATATATTCTCAATAGTCTTTAAGTTCTCTTTTGTACACTCAGTCTTTAATTCATTGTTTACTTACACACCTAAGTGGTATCAATATCCATTATTAAATAGTTAATTCCTTTTCATGGGATTGGTATGCCACGTTCATTATGTACACATTCCCACATATACAGCTGAGCCTTGAACAACATAAGTTTGAACTACATGAGTCTACTTATATATGAGTCTACATGAGTCTTCTTGAACTACATGAGTTCTACATGAACTACATTAGTCTACTTCCATAACTATATCGCTTAATTTTTCAGAGACTTAGAACCATTTGAAAAAACTCCTAAATGAATTTTTTAGCTTAGAAACATTGAAAAACTAAGAAAAATGAGATTATGTCATGAAGGCATGAAATATATGTAGATACTAGCATATTTTATCATTTATTACCATAAAATATACACAGCTCTGTTGTAAAAGCTTAATCAGCACTTATACACACAGAGACCATACACGATGCCATTTCCAGTTGAGATAAATATTTAAAAAGTAAAGATTCAGTATTAAATTATAACTGCATAAAATTAATGTTAGTGCATACCGCACTATCTTAAGAATTTTGCAGCCACCTGATGCTGCTATTGCAGTGACCTCAACAAATGCCAGTGTCCACTGAAAGCTCTAGAGGACACTAATCTCCACATCAACAAGCTTTCTCTTCAACATGTTGTGTATTGCAGTAAATAGTGATCTCTCCAGGTTCTTGAGTATTTTTCATTGTGTTTAGTGCAATATCATAAAGCTTAAATAACACCATAGGACGCATAGGATGTACCGCTACTGATGCTAGAAGTATCCCCAAGAAGCAGAGAAATTGTCATGACAGGATGAGAAAAAGCTGAGTTGATTGATGCATGTTGTGGTTGGAAATCTGCAGCATGCTTGCCTGCCATTCCAGACAATTTATCTAGTGAACACAGGAAGTAAATTTAAGGTATCCACAAGTACAGGACAGTACTGTAAGTGCATTTTCTCTTTTTTATGATTTTCTTAAATGCATTTTGTTTCCTCTGGCTTACTTTATTGTAAGAATATGCATAATACATGTAACATAAAATCTATGTTAATCAACTGGTTATGTTATTGATAAGGCTTCTAGTCAACAGTAGGCTATTAGTTAAGTTTTGGGTAGATTCAAAAGTTGTATGAGGATCTTCAACTGCAGAGGGGTTCAGCACCCCAAACCCCTTTTTGTTGAAGGGTCAACTATATATATATCTGTGTCTGACCTCTGTCTTCTGTACTTAGATGTATTGTTATTTTCATCTCAAACATCAAGGTTTGACAAGGGAGACGTCATTTGTCTTTTTATTTTTTTTAAGAAATCACTTTGGCGATTCTTGTTTGTTGACTCCAACAGTTGCTATCACCTTGATCACATTACTTAATGTCCTCATGACTCAGTGCTGTCATCTGAAAAGTAGCGTGAAGATGTATCTTATTAGATACTGTGAAGATTAAATGAGTTCTTCTACAAAGATTAAATTGAGCAGTGTTTGTAATTTGATAATCACCATGTATGTCAATTATCTTGAATAATATTCTTACTGTTAGAGGTAAAGAGGAACTTCTGTTCTTCAAAAAATATGAAAAAAGAGGGAAATAAGAAACCACGGATTGTGAGCAGATATTGTATTATTCACATGCAATATGCAGTATATATAAGGAGCTAGTACAGAGATAGCAAATCAGTAGGGAAATGGATGAAAGACTGTTTTCACTGGTTCTTGTGCTCTTCTAATATAACCCTATCAATGCTTTTGTTTGTTTTGTACTTATTATATCTTTAAGTTCTAGCATTCCAAGATGCTCTAGGCTCTTTGTGTATATTTTCTGCACAGGTTTAGAAGCTTTATTTCTTCATCAGTATTGACATTCTTCTATTTTCCTTGCCAGTACCAGAATGCAGTTTTATCAATCATCTTAATTTTAGTCTAGATTTCATTTTGTTTATTTATAATTCTATCATTGTTTTAACTTTTATTTCCTTTTTTGTTTTTTGCTTTTTAAAAAAATAATTGCTGGATTTCAACATAAAAATCAGTGGATTTTTAGAAAATGTGCATATTAATTTTCAAACAAATATGGTCAGATTCAGTTTCTAAATTGATGACCTTCAATTTTATTTCAGTGAGGTCAAGATTATGCTCAATTTATTAACCTATGGGATTTTAATTGATATTTATTTGTAGGCCTGCGCTGGGAAATTTTTGTAATTGTGTCTCACATACTGAAAAGCCTTTTCCATTCAGTTACTGGTTGTTGCAGGTATAAATGATCACAGTCGTTAAGTTTGTTTTGCAAATTATTCGCCTTTGTCCCCTTCCGCCACCAGCGCTACGCCCAAGATGCCAAGGCTGCCATGGACAGGGAGGTGCTGGACGGATGCTAGCTGAGGGTGCAGGTGGCGCACTATGGCCGCCGCTGGGACGAGGCGCTGGGACCTGCCCCGCAGCCGCCAGGGAGTGCCACGTGGCAGGTCCGCGGGATACACACCCTACTTGTCAACGCACCCTACTTGTACTTTGGCACATGGAAGACCACGGAGGGCGGCGGCTACGGACGGCGCAGCTGCAGCTCTAGGGGGCGACACCGCAGCCGCAGCTCTAGGGGGCGACACCGCAGCCGCAGCTCTAGGGGGCGACACCGCAGCCGATCCCGAGGTCCCAGCTGCTCCACGTCCAGCAGTCTCTGCTTACAGACGATCTCGCTACAGCCGATCTGCCTACAGGTAATCTCACTACAGCTGGTCTCGCTATATCCAATCTTCTTACAGTTGATCTCCCTGCAGCCGGTATCCGTGCAGCAGGTCTCCCTACAGCCAGCTTCTCTCGAAGTCTGGATCCCGCACTCACTCTCGCTCACCATCAACCTCCAAATCGAGATCTCGAGAAGATCCAAGTCCTCTGTCTCCAGATCTCATTAACGGTCCACGTCCCCATTTACGTCTAGGATTCCTACTCCAGTATCCAGGAGGGAATCCAAATCCAGGTCGCTATCCAGGAGTCCTCCCAAGTCTGAAGGGGAAGGACAAGTATCCTCCTAGGAAAATGGTCAACAGCTAAAGCGTGATAGAGGACTTGGGGAAAAGGACGGCACACTCAGTCCATGGAAGCAGAGTCCCTGGAAGTAGCGACTGCCTATGGAAAAGGTTGTGTTAGATTTGTCCACCTTTTTACCAGTTTGAACAGTTGCATCAGGTGGCAAAATTCATTTTATGTGCCATTTTGTTGTTATTCACATTTTCTTCTAATTTAGTGAGGTGAAACACTTTAGATTGAATTTGGATATTTGAGGGAAAAATTTATGTTTTTGTTGTTGTTTTTGAGATGAAGTCTCGCTCTGTCGCCCAGGCTGGACTGCAGTGTCGCCATCTCCACTTCCTGCAGCTTCCGCCTAATGTGTTCAAGCGATTCTCGGCGCTTAACTTCCCGAGTAGCTGGGATTACCTGCATCCGCCATCACGCTGGGCTAATTTTTGTATTTTTAGGAGAGACAGGGTTTTGCCATGTTGGCCAGGCTGGTCTGGAACTCCTGGGCTCAAGTGATCTGCTCACATCGGCCTCCCAAAGTGCTGCAATTATAGGTGTGAACCCTTGCTCCGGCCTATATTTGATTCTATAGTGCTGACATGTTTTGGTTTGAAATGAACAGGTTTTTTTGTGGCCTCCTGCTCTTAAGAAATGTGTGCAGCCATTACACACAACCTAATGCTGTCACAACATTGCCTCAACATTGCCTTCATTTCTTAAAGTTAAAAACCTACAAAAGGTGGTGTAAATGTATATGTGTAATGTTATTACCTTTAAATCTAACTGGTGATATGATCCAAATTGCACAAAGATTTTTCTGGTGAAAAGACTGGGTTTTTGGCAAACACAATTCTAATCTCTTCTGTTTTTGTGCAGCTGCATAGCAGTTGAGTAATGCTGGTTAGCTGTTAAGGTGGCCTGTTGCAGTGCAGAGTACGGCTCTGTTTCCTGTTTTCTTCTGAGTGTTCCTGGGGAAAGACGCCCAGTCCTGAAGAACAAATGGCTGTCCAGTTAAATGCCTGACAACCTTGCAGGTAAATAATGGATCATGCGGTTAGCACATCTAGCTGATGATAATCACACACTTCCCCCGCTCTATTCTAATAGATGGCAAATTTGATCATATCTATATGTAAGAACTTAAAATATGGAGAATGTTATGGAAGAAATGTTTTTAACTTTGTAAGGACTTATAACATGGCACTTCCTTTTGAGTATGAATATTTTTTACTATAACCATGTTTTACATTGAATTAAAATGTTTTCTTGATGTTACCTTTTCTCAAAATAAAATTAGAAATCTTTTTGGGAAAGTAGGTTGTTTTATTTTGCTCTTGGACTATTTTCTGATATTTCTACTTTTGAGAAAACTATTATACCAAGATTTTCATAAGATTCAATTATAATTTTTTAAAAATCCCTCCAAAGCTTTTAGCTATGTGCTTTATTATTTTATCACAATGTGGTGTATTTAAACTTTCTCTCTTTTCTCTATATGTGATTTTTTTTAACTTCTAAAGCTCTTTTCAAAGACTCAGATTTTTTATTTTTGTTATTATCCCTCTGGGTATTTTATTTTCTTTTGTAATTGTTTCTGCTTATATCTATATTTTCTTTCCTTTTGTATTTTAATTTAGTTTATTGATTTGAGTGCTAAATTCATTCATTTTCGAACTTGCTGATTTTTTCTTTCAGTTCATTTAGATACTCCTTTTTTCTATGTTATGATCTGACCTTAAATCCTGATATTAATGCACCATAGCAATTTGCCATAATCAGTCCATCTTAGGTGGTGAAACTAATGGTCTCTGTGCAGTTGAAGATGTGATTGAAGCCTGCGTAGCATAATGAAGCTACTAAGGTAGCTTAAAGTTACCTCAGTATTTTGTTTATCACACATTTATTTTCCGATATTCTGAAGTATATTAGACTGTACCACACCTGAAGTTTGAAGATTTGGGAAGAAAATACTGGAAGAACCTCAGCTCCTTATTTGATAAAAACAGTGAACAATGGAATCCTGGACACGTGGGAACAATTTAGGACTTTCTAGAGCAGGAATGTGAAGTTGTCATCGAAGAAGCTGTCAACACACCCTACTTGTACTTTGACATGTGGAAGACCACCTTCCCTTGGCTCACCAAGAACATGGACCTTTGCAGCATCAACTACCATCACTTCAGGGAGACCCTGCCTCGGTACACAGTGCCCTAAGATTGTGGCCAGCACCTGGAATGCCTGGCTAGGGAGCTTTTCCCAGGCAGTTCCCAGGGAAGTGAGGCCGTCCTGTGGCATAAGGTGGCAGTCATCTCTCACACAGTTCTCAAGAAGAATGGGATCTCCTTCAATCACATGACTCGGGAGGCTGGAGAATTCATGGTGACAGTTCCCTATGGCTACCACACAGTCTTCAACCACAGCTTCAGTTGCACAGAGACCATAAATTTCACTAACCAGATCGATAGATTATGGCAACATGGCCTCTCAGATCGATAGATTATGGCTCCCATGGCTGTGGGAAAGGCCAGGGTGACCTTTTCCTTGGATGCCTTCGTGTACATCATGCAGCCTGATCACTATGAATTATGGAAAAGCTAGCAAGATGGGGCCATTGTGGATCAAAGGGAGGCCAGTGTGCTGGCCAGCCACGAGCTCATTACCTGATGGGAGGACGTTGCACCTGGCCTGAAGCTCCTCTTTCTCACTGTGGACCTGACCTTTCTAGGCCTGTGGTTGTGGGTGGTGGGACCCACCACTGAGCCCATATGTACCAGTTGCAGTTTTCTTGATGCCCCTTAGCAACCCAGAAAAACTGATGCCCATCCAAGTGTTACTACCCCTAGAGGCCTCCAAGAACACATCATGGCCCAGCACCTATCTTGGGACCAGTTGCTCTGGTTCTCTGCCTGTCACCTGGCATACATGGTCGTGGTGGTCTTCTTCAGGAACTGGAAGCTCCAGGCTCCCACCAAGTGGCCCAGCACACAGAGCTCTCGATCCCAGGACTTAGCCCTTACTTGGAATGAAGCTTTGAGAGACAAGCTTGCATCTCCCAGGCCTGCATCTCAGCATCCCACCAAGGCTTCCAAGAGCTGCAATGCCTCTGTCTTCAAACTTTGGAGAGACCCAGGATCAGATGCTTTGATTGTCCTGCCTGGCCTGAGTCTGATATACCCAGACAGCATGACACTGAATCACCCTGACTGTGTTCTACTGATTCCTCCCAACATCATTGTGCTGCTCAGCAGATTCTCCAGGGATGCTGCTGCAGAGTGCATGGACCCTTGAACCTGGCGGATGTTGTAACAATGGACCACTCATATACTTTCAGGATCTGGCCCCAGCTAAGGTTGTCAGAATATGCTGGGCCCCTGACTCATCTTCTGGGGCTGAAGCCAGACAGAGCAGCACCTCTGAACTTGGAGCTGTGTGCCTCTGATACATATTCTTAATCGTTTGACCCCATGGCTACTGAATATATTGCCAAATGTGGCTGTCCCTCTGACCATAACCTCCTAACTCTAGGATCCAAAGAAAGCCCCAGCCTAGCACAATTTGAGGCTAGGCCTGTCTCAGTCTCTTTTATCTTGAAGAACTGATACATAGCCAAGGCAGCCAGAGGCAGTCTCCTGTTTATTAAATTTATTGTTCCTAGTGTGTATCTGCCAAGTAAAGAAAGGAAAATCCTGAAAACATATTTTTAAAACCACAATTGTAAAGGAGATATATCTAAAACTAAGTGATTTGAATGATTAAAAAGTAAAAGAATTGGCAAAACTATATAGAAGAAAATGCAAAAAAAAAAAAAAAAGAAAAAGAAAAGAGGGGTGATATATCTTAATATCAAAGAAACAAAGAAATGTAGACCAAGGGATTTAGAAAAACTCTTTATAATGCTAAAGACTAAATTTAACAATGAAAATACAACCTTTATAAATAGCAGTGCAACGTTTTCTTTAATTGTTACTTACTTTTGTTTTGGTATTGTGTGTGTATATACAGTAATGTATATAGTATATAAATAACCATATAGTATACTATATAGTATATATATATAAGGATATAATGTACTATGTATACTATATACAATAGTGTATATATACTATCTATAGGCACATATAGTATACTATATATACACGTATACTATATATGAGCATATAGTATATTATACATGTGATATGTATACTATATACTATGATAGTATATATATATATTATACTATAGTATATGTAGTATACTAATGTAAAAACTAATTTATAGCAAATGTTTAAATAGATCGCCAGTCAAGGCAGATGCAAAGGATATTAACAATGTTCAATGAAGAATGTGAAATCTCTAAAAGGTGATTCAAATAGTTTTACCAGGGACTCACAAAGGCATGTTTACACAAGTTTTCATAACATCACCACGCACATAGCCAAAAGGAGGAAACAACCCAAGTGTCCATCTATGGATAATTGGATAAACAAAATGTGGTGTATACATATGGTGGAATATTATTCAACCTTGAAAAAGAAGGAAATCGGATACATGCTGCAACATGGAGGAACCGTGAGGACATCATGCTAAGTAAAATAATTGGAAATAAAAGGACAAATATTATATCATTGCACTTATATGAGGTACCTAAAATAACAAAACTATTAGAAAAATAAAAAAGGAATATGAGCAGCTGGGGAGGCTATACTGAGGTGTTACTGTTTAATGGGTAGAGTCCTAATCTGTGATGGTAAAAAACGTTCAGAAGATAACCTTGTTATACACTATATAGCATATGTATATAACCATTTTCACCATTTTAAAAGTATAGTTTAGCTTATTTAAGGACAAAATTTTGGTACACCCATCACCACTTTCTATCTTCTGAGCAACATACCTTGTACTCCTGTATCAAATATATACACATCAGCATCTATTACTATTTTGGAGAATCTGTGGATCTCTCGGTTCTATCCTAGGTCCCAGGTTTAGCAGTCTCACATTTCTTTCAATATTCCCCTATCATGGATGCCTCCTTGGCTTTGAAGCAGCATTTTCAGTCTTCACATAGTCAATAGAGCTGGGGAGAGTTGTGCTCTGCATCTTATTATTTCTGCTGGCATAATTTGCTATGGGTACCAAGTAGCTCTGTGGGAAGCTGGGCATGGTGACCAGGTGGCTGTGTGAAGCCAGGAAGCTCTTGCCAGGCTCACAGACAACACCATACATAAACTGAAGCTCATAGAATTCCTTTACCCAGCACAGGATGGGTAGTGCAAAGCGTGCAGGCTTCTGTAAGAGTGAGTCTGGCTGGGTAGTGGGTGCTGCTTCTAGTGGGCTTTCTTCTTCCTGGCCTTCTGCTTTCAGAGGTTGCCGAAGTCATAGACTGAGTGCTTGCCCAGAGAATCCAGAGCTGGGTGTTCCAGGCCCCTGTGCTGGGCTCAGGCAGTTTTTGGGAGAGGTTACCTAGGGAGTTTTCCATGGTGGGCTTGTGCTTCTAGGAGGAAATCGGGAGGAGCAGGCATGGGCTGCAGGGTCCAGAGAGGATTTTACCACAGAGGTGGAGAAGAAAGTTCTGGTAAAGTCCATTTCCCTCTTCTTTTCCTCCTCAGGACAAGTTCCATGAAGACACAGTGCAGCTTAGGGCCAGGAAGTTGAGATCCAGCCTAGAATACATGTGAGTTTGATTAAGGAAAAATAGTTTGTAAGAAACAAGTTGGAGTAGCATTTGAAAAACTGGAGAATTTAAGTCACTTTATTGTGTTGAAGACAGAGAAAAGTGGAGACATATAAGGATATAGAAAATAAGCTTAAGAAGAAGATCAATCTATGCACCTGGTAATGGAGAATACTCACTTTTTTCAAGTGCCAATGAATGACTCACAAAATTTGACAATATATTGGATGAAAATAAAACATCAATAACTTATCAAAAGAAAAAGAAAAAGTCAATACCATGAAATAAAACTAGAAATTGATTTTAAAAATCAGAAAATGTAGAGATGTTTTTTCCTAAAAGGCAAGCATTCTTTATTGGGCAAGCTTTAGATAAAAG